AAGGGAACCTATGGAAGAGCTGGAGTCTGATCACATAGGAGGGAACAGAGCCCAAAGTCTCAGTCATCCTGACTTTCCATAGTGAGAATGGGGTTTAGCTGCTACACGTGGGAGGAGCATTAGGAAGACCTATAGGCCAGGGCCCAGGGTTAGGAATCCCCACCTGGGTGGGGTTCAGGAAGAGTGGGGTTGGGGAAACCTGAGTCCTTCACTGCTCACATCAAGGAGAAGAGGGCACAGCCACATCATGTCTATCATAGCTGGGGACTTTCTTGTAGATAATTTTGGTCCACATGGCAACAATGGGGCCATGAACAGAGTTGTCACAAGGTTTCTTGAGCAATCAGGCTCTAAGCTTTTAGGGTGGGAGACTACCAATGATCAAGACTGGCTGCTTCACTTCCCTACTGTGGTTTAGGGACCTGGCTGCAGGTACTGGAGACCATTGGAGTGCTGGCTGTCATTGCCAATGGGATGGTCATCGCCTTCACCTCTGAGTTCATCCCCAGAGTAGTCTACAAGTACCGCTATGGCCCATGTGGACAGAACAGGAACTTCACTGAAGAGTAAGGCATTAAACTGTCAAGCCCCCCCCCCCCAGACTGGCTCTTCCAGTTAACCCCTTGGAGCCTAGATCTGGGGCTCTCCTGAGTATATCTGGGTGCTTCCAGGGCTATCTGGGCTGGGACTCAGCTACTCCTTAAACTGTCTACACAACTTACATACCTTGGCTAGATCCCAGGAATAACTGATGGACCTTTGTAGGGAGAGAAGGGCCAGGCCCATTTGGTAATGAGCAGGAAGTACCTAAACGGCTTTCCTGAAAAGTTATACACCTCTGTCTTGCTTCTGGCGTGGGAAGGCAGAGCACAGATGTGTCTGGCTCCCACTGCACCTCCAGACTGGGACTCTTTGCATCAGCCTTAGGAGTATTCTTCCCGCCTGGGAGGGAAGACAGTTGGTGGCCCCTCAGCCTCTTTCACCCCCTCCCAAGTGTAGTCTTGTGCTTGGACAGCAGGCCTTTTCTCATGAAGGGAAATGGAGAAGGCCTTCCATGGTGTGCCCTCCTCCTTGTGCCCCCTAGATGTAGGTGAGTTCTTAGGAGGGACCTCAGGCCATGAGTGTCCCACACATCTCTCTCCCCAGCTGCCTCAAGGGCTATGTCAACCACAGCTTGTCTGTCTTCTACACCAAAGACTTCCAGGACCATGGCAGGATGGAAGGCCAAGAAAATGTGACTGTGTGCAGGTTTGGAACCTCTTATCCCCCCATAAATGCCTTTTAAATTTCTGATTCCTGACTTTAGGGACTTCCCTACCCCAGGTACCGGGACTACCGAAACGACCGTGGCTACAACTTCTCTGAGCAGTTCTGGTTCATTCTGGCCATCCGGCTGGCCTTTGTCATCCTCTTTGAGGTGGGTAGGATTGTGAAAGAGAGTCTAAGTAAAGGCAGGTCTCTCACTTTTCTATCTCAGCCCCCAAATCCTAAAGGTTCTTTTTGGCCACTGATCTTGCTGGACCCATTTCCTCCCTCCTGCCCCCAGCATGTCGCCTTATGCATCAAGCTCATTGCTGCATGGTTTGTGCCCGATGTGCCCCAGTCAGTGAAGAACAAGGTTTTGGAGGAGAAGTACCGGATACTTCGGGAGAAAATGTGGTAGGGATGCAGTGGCTTACTTGGCTGGGGGTAGGTTTATGTCTGGGGACAGGCCTGGCCTCTGATACATACCAACTTCATTCTTCCTGCAGCTTCAGTTCTAGGAGCACAGATGTATAGAAAACTTGGGGCAGGTGGAGAAATGCTGACGTCCAGGAGCCTGGACTAGGAAGGATTCCCCATCTCTACAGCTTGCCCCATCCATGACAATGTGCATCCATGTATTGAAGGAGGCTGTAAAATGGCCCGTGTATATGTAGGGTCCTGGGTGGTCTACATATATGTCAGTGAATGAAGATCATAGGAGGCCCTTGAATATATGTAGGTTTCATGTATATATGTTAACCAAGGGAGTCTCTTGTACATGTTGGGGGTTGCTGGAATTCCATGTATATTTATGGTATTTATGAACAGCACAGATGTGCATGTGGGGTTTGCTCCAACTTTCCTAGGGTTCAAATGTGTCACAGACTTGACTTGAAACTCTTGAGTGGCCCTGGTACCCATAGAACTTCAGTCTGCTTATATATAAGATCCTATTGCAGTAAAATTAGCCCAAGTTCTATGGACCTTCTGGCTTCTGGGCCCCAGATCATGCTCTGTGGCCTCCTGCTTGGTGGCACCTCCCCCCCCCCCCATTAGCTGGATTCCTCACCACCGGTAAAACTTTTTACAAATGAAATAAACCTGTGTGTATTGATTTCTGAGCCTCATGATGTAGATCCATTTTCTTTCTTTTCTTTTATTTTCTCTTTTCTTTTCTTTTTTGGTTTTTTCCAGATAGGGCTTCTCTGTATTGCTTTGGAGCCTGTCCTGGAACTAGCTTTGTAGCCCAGAGGCTGGCCTCGAACTCTGCCTCCCGAGTACTGGGACTAAAGGCGAGCACCACCAACGCCTGGCTGTAGGTCAAATTTCTAGGGATTATTTCTGCCTTGGGCTAGACAGAAGGAAGCCCAGTGTGAGCAAGTCTGAACTGTGGTAGCCGCGGGCCAGCTGACTTTTCTCTGGTTTGCCTGATCTCCTGATCTATAAGGCACACATTATTGAAGAAGGTTCTCCTTTCCAAAGATCTGGATTTTAGGATGGCAAGACCCAGGATCAGTTATGGGTGGGGTGTGGATCAAAACAGGCTTCCTGGACAAAAGGGAAGAGCGCAGGTTAGAGAGGCAGAACACCATGACGGTGCCCCATTGCGGACTGGGCTGTCTGGGCTGGTTTGGCCACTGCCCCAAAGCCGAAATAAAGCTGAAGATCCCGAGGCTGAACTCCCGGCAGTCTTCAGCACTAGCCTCAGGCATAAAGCGGGACACTAGGGTCCGCCCTCGTCCTGCCTGCGGGGCGGGGCTGCACCTGCCGCTGAGTCTGTCGCTACTGCGCACCTAGGCCAGGTAATCGGCCAGCCTCCGCGCGACTACCAGGTCTGAAAGCAGGTGGGTGGCAGCCGTGAGACAGATGTGTGGAGGTGAGTAGAGGTCGTGGTTCCTGAAGCCGCTCCAGTTCTAGGGTTGGGGACCTGGGCGCACTATGTTCCGAGAAGCCTCGGGGCCATGGTCCCTCGGGAAGTAGCTCTGAACCAGGCAGGTTTCCCGAGCAGCCCGGAAGCTCGAGATCGCGGCGTCTAGTCCCCTTCCCTGGGCTTGCTCTCTTCAGTCTGCCCGACGTGGTCAATAGCTTCCTCTTGACTTCAATGCAAACCTGCAGAGCTGGGCCAGGGGCGCAAGACCCCACCTTCGCTCCCACGAGCGTATCTTAACACTGAGCATTCTAGGACACCCTGGGCCGATTGAGAGGCTGCCTGGGGCCCCGGCTCGCGGTGACCCCAGCAGAGCTTCCGCCTTCTGCGAGCGCGTGTGGTGCGCGCCCAGACTAGCTGTCAGCGTGCTTCCGCTCTCCGTGCGCGTCCCCGTCTTCTGCACTTGTGCTTGCTAGACCAGCTAGTAGCACCTGTTAGGTCCGGGGAAACAGATCTTGTGCCACTCACAGAAGACGAAGGGCAAGTTGTAGGAGCATGATGAATTCGGGGAATTGGTCTCCTTGAGGCCTTTTATGCACACACCAGGACCAGGGGCAGCGTAGGTCAAGAGTTCATCAGGAGTAGCTTAGGTAGAGCTGAAGGACTGGGCCTGGTGGGAAGAGGACCTGGGCTTTCCAGAAACATCATAATATAGAGGCAATACTAAGTGATGCGAGGGTCCAGGCTGGGATTTAAATTCCGAGGTGTTTGGGCAATCTGGGCTTTTATGCAAGATTGGTCTGAGGCTGAGGTACTGGATAGAGTAGTTGTTAACCTTCGTCTTGGTCTTCATCTTCGTCTTGGTCTTCTTTTTTGAGGGAAGTTTCTCTGTAGCTTTGGAGGCTGTCCTGGAACTCGCTCAGTAGACTAGGCTGGTCTCAAACTCACAGAGATCCACCTGTCTCTGTCTCCCGATTGTTGGGATAAAAGGTGTGTGCGCCACCACTGCCCTGCCGTTCTCAACCTTCTTAACGCTGTGACCAGTTAATACAGTTCCTCATGTTATGGTGGCCCCCAACCAAAAAATTATTTCCATTGCTACTTTTTAACTGTAATCTTGCTACTGTTATGTATTGTAATGTAACTTGTCTTCTCTGATGGTCTTAGGTGACTCCCCCCTCCCATGAAAGGGTCATTTGATCCCAAAAGGGGTCCCAACACTTGGGGGTGAAGTAGAGGGTGGTAGATGTTAACAGGAAAGGAGAACAGTAGTGACTCAAGACCCTGAGAGGGTGACAGAGCCCGAGGCTCAAGTCAATCTGGAGTCAGTGGTAACAATAGGAGAAATCAGCTGTGTTCTTCCCCTCTCACCCAGAGCCAGAAGCGTGTGACTCTTGTGTTTGGCACTTTACCTTGAAAAGGGGCTCTTCTCTCTCACCCCAGCCCTAAGCGAATGCCTATGAGATACCACAGCCTGTCACACTTATTCATTCAGATGAGTCTATTGCCTGGGAGGTGGACAGGGTAAGGACCAGAGAGATATGCTCTAGTTTCAGTACTGGTCACCAGTTTCTGAGAGATCCCCTTTGCTGCACTAGGTCAGAGGTGAGTCATGCCTGGGGCTGGGGTGGGGAGCAGATAATATAATTCTTCCTCTCCACTCCTAAATATAGTATAAAAAAATGAGAGTGTTGTCAGGCTTGGAGCATGCCTTTAATCCTAGCATTCAAGAGAAAGAAGCAGGTGGGGCTCTGTGAGTTCAGGCTAGTCTGGTCTACATAGACCATTTCAAGTCAAACCAGGACTACACAAAGACCTTGTGGTAAAAAGGTGGGTTGGGGGTGGGGAATGGAATCTAGGAAGCCTCCTGCCCAGTGCATGTTTAGGACAATGCTGGCTGGGGTCTCCTTGCCAGAATCTCTGTACATCACCCCAACCTCTGCCACTTGAAGTAACCACCTACACTCTAGCACAGGAGCAAATATAGTTCTTAGGGACTGGGGCAGTCCTGGGAGGAAGGGGCCTCTTAGAGTTACAGGAAGAGCCAGGCAAGGCGGGGCAAGGACCGCCAACAGCCCGCCCCACCAGGGGAAGGGGTGGTTACCTGGGTGGGGTTTAGGCTTAGGAGAGGATGTGACTGTAAGGCCAGGAAACTAAGGGGGAAAGTTCTGACTAAAATATATATCAACAAAAGCCAGGTCCTCGCCCAAGCTTGGTGATGCATCGTGGGTAGCCACAATACTGTGGCTCCTCTCTGGGGCTGAGCAAAGGGGACAATTTGCTCACAAGTGCATGTTACTGACCTTAATGACCATCTCCCCTCTGGAGGAAAGATCCGGAAACCAGGTGACTGTGCCCTCCCGATTGCTCTGAGTGATCCTGTGGCCTTGTGATCTGTCCTTGAAGGTAGGCTTGGCTGAGGAGAGGCCCATGGTACTGAGCTGCATAAAGGCACACTGTGTGTGTGTGTGTGTGTGTGTGTGTGTGTGTGTATAATACACACATGAGCACTCATGTATGAGTGTGCTTGTGGCCCCTGAGGTATTTGGGAGTGAGCTCATGAAATGAGGTGTGTGCAGCCCATACATGTGTACACATTGGCCAAGGTGAACTCAGTGTGGCTGAGTGGGGGTCAGAGGGACTGTGCATGCATGGAATGTGAAAGAGAAGAGGCACAGGGGAGGACACCTGCTGCCTCAGTGAGTCATGTCCTGGTGGGTTGGTCTTGATTTCTGGCAGTATCTGGGGCTGCTTTTGCAGAGGTCAAGGTCTTCTGAGGAGGATGAGGGCTATTGCAGGGCATGGTTTGGAATCTGCTGGGCTGGGATATGTACTTCTGGTCACTCTGAGGGGTCAATTGAGAAGCCTATCTTCTACAGGCCCTTGATGGGTGGTTCTGCTTCCAGGATTGAAGTAGGACTGCCCTTCACCCCAAAGGGTTTCTGCAAGGATCACCTTGCCATCTCTGACAGTAATGTGCCTCTTGCTGAACAATCATCCAAGGAGACTGATGTCTAGCCAAGCCCGAGATTTCTGGCTAAGCATTACCCAGTGCAGAGCAAAGGGAAACAGTATTTTTTAAAAGCCTCTGGGACCTTAGGTATAGGAAGGACATCCTAGGCAGGCCAGGCCCAGGCTTGACCCCATGTCCCTGATGCTCATGTGTTAGCATGGAGGAGAGTAGGAACTCAATTAAATGCTTGTTATATAAAGAGAGTGAACTTGGGGCACCCAGGAAAGAAGGATCACCTAGGGCTGCTAAGAAAGAGCATCTGAATTTCCTGCATTTGTGCCACTGCAGAGCTTTTTGAGTCTCGGGTGTGTATAATTGCTGTGGGCTGAGAATGGCCCAGGACCCTAGGTAAGAGTCATCTGTGTTTAAGGTATCCGGAAGGGGTTCCCAAGGCCCTTCAGAGTGGCCTCTATACTAGCCTGGTCCCCATTTGCCTCTCCTGGCCCAGATGAGCCTCAAGTTGTCTGCAGGTGTAATGTGTCCATTCACATGTGCACGTGTGACTGCATCTGGAACAAAATCTCACAGTTAGGTTTCACTTATGGCTCATATCCCCTCAATCCCCAGGTCCTGGCCAGGTGACAAGCACCCATGCACCCGCCTGCATACAGCAGCAGTCCATTACAGGGGACAGCCAGGAATGAGGCTAACTGCTATCTCCTGAGGTTAGATCCATCTTGGAGCATGTCTGCTGTATCCCTGAGTCACCACAGTGGCTCCAGGACACGTGAAGCTGGTCCATGCCATTGCCCCTCCAAAGCTGGTGAGGCAAAGTCTGCTCTGGCCTTGTGCTGTCTAGGAGTTCACACAGCACTCTGAGGCTGGCTGAAGTTACAAGAAAGCTCTCTGGTATGCAGCCAGTGCTGCTAGTGGCTGACAGTTACTGGTTAACTCATCCTGTTCCTGTTTAACTTGTCCCCTGGGGATGGTGACAGCCTCTGACCTCCAGGTACCCTGTCCAGCTGGCTGAACAGACAGAAAGGAGTCCTTCTCAGCTTCCAGTGGACCCATCTGCTCGGTTAAGGAGCCCCCGTGGAGCCAGGGCCGGAACCGGTGTTCGGCCTGAAGAGGCTGGGGAAGAGCCATGACAGGTAGGCAGGTCAGAGAGGGCCACGGCCAAGTCTCCACCCCAATTTCTGCTGTTCAGGCTGGCTCCACATTGTACTCTCTGCTGAGCTCTGTGTTTGGATATATGCCAGAGGTCAAAGCCCATGCACATCCCTTCTCTCTGGTGCTTGATTCTGAACTCAGGGCAGTCAGGGATGATGAGAGCCTCTACTTCTCTCATGCCCGGAGCCTACAGAAGAGGTATACAAGAATCAGTAAGCCCACCAGGCATGGTGGTGAATGCTTTTAAATACCAGCACTTGGGAGGCAGAGACAAAGCGAGCTCCAGGACAGTCAGGGCTGTTACACAAAGAAACCCTGTCTTGGGGAAAAAAAAAAAATCAGTAAGTCTAGGAATCTCAGTGAGGGGTCTTGGGGTTGTGGGTGTTAAATGAGGTGATATAGTGTACCTCTCCAGTCTCCTGCTAGGGTCATCACCCTCACTTAAAGTTGAAAAAGTTTAGGTCTCAGAGTAGTGGGAAAGCAGGTCTGTGGTTAGTGGAGGGGGATCCTGGAAACCTAGGCTCCAGCTTGCCCTGTCCCTGTGAAAGATGCTAGTATATGTATTCTTTCAACATTTGGTGTTCATAGTCCCTGCAGCTCTTCAATAGAAGCTAGCCAGGCTGAGGGCAGAGGGAGCTGTCCCTGCTCTGAGGGGGTTGTATGGGGGCTGGACTCATGTCCAGCAGGGATAAGCTAATAGATGGGTCCCTGTGGCTGGGCTGGCTCAGCGCAAACATGACTCTGGTCACTCCTCTCCCTGTCAATGTTTTCCCTGAGCACAAGGCTGTCACATGAGGGCCAGAAGAGCACAACTGGCCACACTGAGGGAAGAATGCAAGCCTGGGCTTTAGCCTGCAGGACCCATGGATGAATGTAGTGTGGTTATTGACACCACTTGTCCATTGCCTTGTTTTTTCCCTTGACCATAGAGCATCTATGAATAGGGTGGGAAAAGGCATCCCAGCATGGTTGACTTGTTCTCTTCCTGCAGGTGTCTGTGACAGGACCCCTCTTTTCCTCTCCCCACCTGAAGACCAAGTCTTGGGACCTGCCCTTGGCAGTGCAGTTGCTTTGAATTGCACAGCTTGGGTGGACTCTAGGCCCCAGTGTCCCCAGCCCTCAGTACAGTGGCTAAAAGATGGTCTTCCATTGGGCAATGAAAGCCACTTCAGCCTCCATCAGGACTTTTGGTAAGAGACTTCGGTTTCCAGGATTAGAGGAACCACCAAGATATACCATGGCCAGCAGCCTTTCTAACCTACACCCTACAACCTAGACAAGGTCTGTGTAGTACCTGTGCAAAGTTGACTTTGGAAACAGGTCCAGAGTTTCCTTGTGCCCCTGTATATATCTTGTAGACTGTCTGGGAATAGAACCATAAGTCTTGAGTGGGCCATTTACTAGCTAAGCCTGTAACCAGAGGATTCCTAGGACCCAGGCCCAAGTTCTGATCACTTAGCCCAAATCTGCAATCTCCCTGGGTAAATCCCAGGGCATCCACTGATGTTCTTGGTCCTAAGGTGAGGGTTTGACCTGGTTTTCCCAGGGTCACTGCCAACTTCTCAGAGGTTGTGTCCAGTGTTCTGGTGCTCAACTTGACCAATGCTGAGGACTATGGAAGCTTCACCTGCTCTGTCTGGAATGTCAGCTCCCACTCCTTCACTCTTTGGAAAGCTGGTGAGGGAGTTCAAGGTGGTGGAGGGCAAGGGTTTCCTGAAGTGCTAAGGTTAAGGGAATAGTGATTCCTCCTGTCTGCAGGCCCTGCTGGCCATGTGGTTGCAGTGCTGGCCTCCCTTCTTGTCCTGCTGGTTCTGCTGCTGGTGGCCCTGCTCTATGTTAAGTGTCGCCTCAACGTGCTGCTTTGGTACCAAGACACCTATGGGGAGGTGGAGATGAACGGTGGGTTTGTGGAGTCCTGCATGGATTAGGGCACAAAATTCAGTCAAGGGCCTTACTGAGGTGCCAGCGGCATGCTGTGTTCAGCCCTGGGAGGAGGGAGTTGCAGCTCTAGAGGGCTCTAGGTGTACATTCTGGAAGGGGCATAGAACTGGAGTCAACAGAAGAAAGAGTTCTGGGGTCTGGTTCACTTGTTCAGAGAAGTGCTGGACATGGGGTAGGGGTATCTCTGTAACTGGCCGCGCTGAATGGCCTTCTCTGCAGATGGGAAGTTATACGATGCCTACGTGTCCTATAGCGACTGCCCGGAGGACCGTAAATTTGTGAATTTTATTCTGAAGCCTCAGCTGGAGCGGCGTAGGGGATACAAGCTCTTCCTGGAGGACCGCGATCTCTTGCCGCGCGCTGGTACCGCCCTTCCCAGGCCTCCTGGTCCCCACCCTATTCCCTGAGTCCTGACTTTGTCGCTGGCCCCGCCTCTCATTCGCCGGCCCACGCCCTTGCCCACAGAGCCTTCTGCCGACCTCCTGGTGAACCTGAGCCGGTGTCGGCGCCTCATCGTGGTTCTTTCAGACGCCTTCCTGGGCCGGGCCTGGTGTAGCCAGAGCTTCCGGTGCGTCCGGTGCTTGGCTTGGGGTGGGAAACTGGGGAGGCATGGTCCTGCCCGGCCTGATGGACAAGGTCTTGTCCCCGCAGGGAGGGACTGTGCCGCCTACTGGAGCTCACACGCAGACCTATCTTCATCACCTTTGAGGGCCAGAGGCGTGAACCTATGCACCCTGCTCTCCACCTCCTGCGTCAGCATCGCCACCTCGTGACCCTATTGCTTTGGAAGCCTGGCTCCGTGGTGCGAGGGCTGGGGGTTTGTGAGTGGGTGCCTGAAGTGCTGGAGGGCCAGCACCAGCAGTGCTCTATGAGTTGGGTGGTTAGAGGCTTCCAGTTCATAAATCCCCATGTGTTTATACTGACGGTCCAAACCTGGCCCCCCCAGACGCCTTCCTCCGATTTTTGGAAAGAGCTACAGCTGGCACTACCACGGAAGGTGCAATACAGGCCGGTGGAGGGAGACCCCCAGACGCGACTCCAGGATGATAAAGATCCTATGCTAATCGTGAGAGGACGAGCTGCCCAGGGCCGAGCCATGGAGTCAGAACTGGATCCAGACCCTGAGGGAGACCTGGGTATGCCCATCTGGCCTCACTGCAGATTAGGGGGCCAGATACAGCCCCAGTGTCTTACTCCCGCACGGAGAGATCCTGCCTCCTGTAGAGGTTTGACCTCCAATGGCGGTGCCCCTAACTGCCTCTTACTGGGGAGGCTCTTTGATCCTAGACCTCTGTGGGTGAGCTTTGGGGGTTTCTAGTGTCACTGTGGCTGGTGGGTGAGCATGGAGTAACCCCTTCTAATCACAGATCCTCAGGCCTTGTGGTGTCCTGCAGGTGTCCGTGGACCTGTCTTTGGGGAGCTACCAACTACACTGCATGCAAGCAGGGTCTCCGTGGGAGAGGGCCATGGCAGTGAAATGGATGTGTCTGACCTTGGCTCTCGAAACTACAGTGCACGGACAGACTTCTACTGCCTGGTGTCTGAGGATGACGTGTAGCCCTTACCCTAGCAGCCCAGATCATGGGGTCATGGTGGCAGCTTCCAGGGTAGAGGCAGACATCCCTTCTTCCTAGGACCAAAACCTTGCCTGTTGCTCTGAACCCCTCGGGGAAGGAGCGTGGCTCCAGGGTGCCACAAAATAAAAATCCTCTTTGCTCTTGCCTGGGCCTTTTTCTCTCCTGGGTGGTAACTGCTATATCTCCTCTTGCTTCCATCACCAGCACAGGTTTCCCAAGCTGCTGGCCACTCAAATCTGCCTTCTATTCCCAGCTCCCTGGCACATCCCTTGCTCTAATAGCCCCTTGTATCCCTTCTTGGTTCTTTGTTGGTGTGACCGTCCCTAGCCCCTTCTCACTGGTCAGATCCTTCAGTAGGAAGCTACTGTTGACAATTTTACAAGAAAAAATGGGTAACCTTGTTCCTGATGTTGCTGGACTTCAAGCCTAGGTATCCTCTAGCCTGGGTACCTCCTAGCATCAGCTCAGGATGGACAGAAGGTGTTGGATGTGTCTATGGTATGGATACTGCTCATGGAGTCCTCTGCTCTGCTGTGTATGCCTCAGATAGCAGTAATGCTGGCCATCCCTACTCTCTACTCCTTTCCTGTCCTATGACTTCTGCCTTGGGAGGCCTGTGTGTGGGCCTGGAGTTGTGCCTTCTGGGACAGGTAGGCATGTTTGGGGACAATGCACACTTGTGAATCTGTGGCCCATCATGGGAACACATGGAGCTGGGGCTATGTTCAAAACCACTTTTATTCCCAGTGTTGCTGTCACAAGGCTGCCAGGCCACAGGCAACCCCACTGGCCCTGCCATTGTGGCTAAATCACCACCCGGAGCATCAGAGCAGCTCAAGCCCCACCCCCTTCCCCTGCCCTGCAGAAGCCAATCAATCCCCAGTTGCAAGCCCCCATTCTTTCCTGGTGGCCCTGGTCCCTCATGGTACACACAGGACTCCAGAGACAGAGAGGTCCTGTGGCCATCAGCTACTCCTCCATGAGCTGTGGAACAGTAGGACCTGAGTCTATCTGTTGGAAGCTGAATCATTTCACCTCCAGGAGGCTTCACCTATGGGCCCAGGAAGTCCTCCTTCCGATAGCCCTTCTGCAGGGAAGAGGACACAGGAGATCAGGGCTACCTTTGCTGTCTCTGAAATCTTGCCTTCCCCATAATGTTCTGGGCATAGCCTGGGCCTCTTGTCGCTGCATTCCAGGCTTGTGTCCCTCCCCTGGTGACCTACAGCTTGCACCGGACTCCATGCCCCAAAACCCTGTTCCCGGGCTCTGTAAACATACCGCCCTGAAGTCACGGTGGAGCTTGCTGTACTGCCAGAGGTTGGCCAAGAGACTGGAGGCTGCCCGAGAGGACTTCTCACTGTCAGGGCTAGGAGCATTCAAGAAGGTCAGGGCCAAGGCTAGGAGGTAGGATGATAGGGTACACCTTGGCCACGTTGTTGTTCCTCACCTGTCCCTCTTTTTTTTGATGAAGACCAGCTTTCGAAGCCCATCAAAGTAGAGCAGGTCCCGGGCAGCAATGGGACTGGCTACCACCAGGTTGTTGAGCACAGCTATGATGTTGACCAGCACCTCAGCTGGGGGACACTTCTCACCCACACTGCCAGGGAGCTTCTCAATCAGGTGGCTCACTACCTTTGTGGCTGATAAGAGGTTAGGGTCAGTCTGATATATTCCATGCTGCCTTGGCACCCAGAACCCCTGCTTCCCCTGGGGGCTGGCACACACACCTGCCCACTCTATATGGCTTGCTAGCTGGAAGCCAGCTCCTTGGGAGACATGGACTGTGTGCTGGACCAGGGGCAGAACAACTCACACATCTCATCCTTGTTCCTGGCGTTCCGAGACAGGTTTCGGATGAGGCCAGTCAGTGAGCGCAGTTGGTTATGGTCAGCGGTGCGGACTCGGTCCAGCAAGGGGTTCAGGATGCGCTCCTGTTCCAGGGCCAGGCGGCTCAGCACGCCTGCCCACTGCAGGAAAAGGCGGGAATGTGGTGAAGCCCAGCAGCACCCCATCCCTGTTCAGGATTGGGCAGGACCACTTCTTCAATTCTTGCTTGCTACCTCTGCTACTCTGCCAACTCAGGACATGACCAGGTAACACTTGTGCTCAGAATATCAGGGCCCCATTCCTCAGGCTGGGCATGGGTCTCATTATGTGTCTTACTCTTAGGAATCCTTTCCCCGACAGACCATGAACTCCTAGGCTGTGGCTCCCATCCATGTGCCCTAGTGCCCAGCACAGGATCAAGAGTGGGGCTTGTCAGCTCACTGACCCTGCGGTCACCAGCGGTGATATTCTGTAGCGCCCCTGCAGCCGCCTCTGTTGTATGCCGGTTTAGTTCACAGCGCTGCAGTAGTCGGTTGTACAGCCCCACAATCTGAGGGCTCCATAGCCACTCAAGGCCCTTGGGATCCTTAGACACTTCCGCAAAGGTGAGTGCATCAGCTGTAAGAGGAAGCTGAGTGGGAGGGTACAGGGGTCAACTGGGGCCAAGGGTACCACTGAGGTCAGGGATCGGGCTGGCACTCCCAGTTCCTGGCCTCCCAGGCCTGTGCTCACCTCGCGCAGCCTCCTACTCTGGGGCGTAAAGCAGCCCACCACTTCACCAGGTGGCGCCCCACTCATGTCCCTGCGGCCCCGGCCTTCAAGCCGCTGTAGTGCTGATGGTGGCATCTCATCATAGAGGCGGTAGGACAAGTTCCTCAACACACAGACAGCATTTTCCACACTCTGCAGGGAACAGAGGGGGGGTCAGAGTGGGCCGAAGCCCCTGGGCCCCCTTGGCTCACCAGCTGCCCCTCACCTTGTCCTCACACTTGCCCACGTCCAGGGCATGGTTGATGTAGGTGACCAGAGCATCCACTAGCCCATGGCACTCACGCATCTTCTGGCGAGTGGCCTGGGAGGCTGAGCTGAGGTTCCTGGGGATGGAGGCATATCAGAGCTCCCCCAGGGATACCAACACAGTCCCCCCTCCAGGAACCCTAGAATGCCACCTCAGAATCCTTAACTTGAAGCCCCTGTCCTGGAGATGAACTCACCAGGCACTGATCCTGACTTGGGACTAACCGCTGTGCCATCCTGTTCCTAGACCCTATCAGATATACCAGACACTTCTGGCACTGCCCTTCACATCCCCCATCTCCCATCTACTTCTCAAAGGTTAAGAAGATGGATATCTGGACAAGGGACTTGATTTAATGAGTCATAAAGCTCCAGGGTGTCCTGACATCTACACCCACCTGGTAGTCATACCTGGCCTATCCCACTCTTGCCTCAGCCCCTAAACTTTCCCCTGCTGGTTACTTCTCCTTGCAGGCTTGGCTAACTGTCCTTGTCATTTAGGTGGCAAATGAACATACTTCTAGAAGCTTTCCTGATCCTTCTCTGGCACCTGGCTCTTTCCCCTCAGCATCTCCTGGCCTAGGGCCTCCATTTAGCACACCTGAGGAAGCCAGTAGCATTATAGAAGATCTCTGCCTCAGAGGCATTCTGCTGGATGAGGGGGGGTCCCCCTGCCCCTGACAGGGGGCTTAGCACCAGGTCTGTGAGTTGCTCCAGTGTATCTCGGGCTAGACGGTCCTTCAGGTGGTCACTGGAGGACAGATTCCACAGGATCCCTGCACAAGAGGGGGCCAATATCAGCTCTCTGGCCCTTCTGCTTACTCCGGGAATGGCTTCTTTTTATAAAAGATTTACTTATTTTTTTAAAGTATGTATGTGTCCATACATGGATATATTATAAGCCCATGAGTACAGGTACCCGTTGAGTCCAGAAGAGGGCATCAGATCACCTGGAACTGTAGCTACATGCATTTACGAGCTGCCTGATGTAGGTGCTGAGGACAGAATGTGGGTCCCTTGGAAGAACAGCAAATACTCTCATTCACTGACCATCATGTCAGCTCTTGCCCCCACATTTTCTTGGCCTACTCTAGAGCTCCCCTGGAGATGTCCTCAGTGTGACCTTTGGAAGCATGGGGCAGGAGCAGAGCAAGAGAGACAAGGTGTGGGGGATTTGGAGGCCTGAGAGTGGAAGTGACCACTAGTCCAGAAAGAGCCTGGACTAGATGTTGCTCTGTGGTAGAGTACTTGTAGGCCCTGCTTGTATGCATGAATCCCTGAGTATCACACCTCGCACTACAGATAATAAGGATGAAAGCCACAAAAAAAAAAAAAAAAAAAAAAAAAAAAGAAAGAAAGAAAGAGTTTTATAGGTGTGACACTTTCAGTCCCAGAATTTAGGAAGGAATTGCCATGAGTTTGAGGCCATCCTGGGCTACATAGAGAGGCCTTCTCTCATAAACAATAAATAGCCAGGCATAGTGGTACATGCCTTTAATCTCAGCATTTAGGAAACACGGGCAAGCATATTTCTGTGAATTTGAGGCCAACCTGGTCTACATAATGAGTTCCAGGTCAGTCAGAACTACATAGTGAGACCCTGTTTCTTGTAAAGCACACACAACAATAACTGCAAACACCAACAACAATAAGTGTCGAGAGCCACCACAATAAGGTGTTTGTAGGTAGAAGGCCTAGGTAGAAGGACTGCCATGAGCTTATGGCCAGTGTCTGATACAGTAAGACAGAAGCCAGTTTGGTGTGCAGAGTGGAACAATACAGTGGGGTAGGGTGAGCTGGAGACATGTCTCAGTGGTTAAGAGCACAGGCTGCTCTTCCAGAGGACCTGGATTCATCTCCCAGCAACTACATGGTGGCTCACAATCATCCATAACTCTAGTTCCAGGAGATCTGATGCCCTCTTCTGGTCTCCATGGGCACTGGGCATGCATGTGGTGTACAGACATCCATGCAAGCAAAAGATGCATTTATATAAAATAAAGTAAATAAATAAATTGAATATATACACAAACACACACACACACACACACACACACACACGTCAGGAGCTGGAGAAATGACTTAGTGGATAAGAGCATTTGCTGCTCATGTAGAAGACACAGAGTTGGTTCCAATTCCCACATGGTTTTTAATAACTGTCTGTGACTCTACTTTCATGGAATTCAATGCTCTTTCCTGACATCTGTGGGTACCAGACATGTATATGGTAAACGAAGATACATAGAGGCAAAAATTTCATATACATAATAAAAATAAACAACTCTTTAAAAAATAATTA